AGTTATGGGCATGTACTGTACATGTACGTTCATTCCTATCGTATGAACTTTTCTTTTACTGTATCCCTTGCCACCATCCGAATATTGATTACCCCGGGCTACGCAGTGTATGCCAACAATTTAGATGTAATACAATTCCCTTTTTAAGTACCTTGATGCGCAGTCGCATCACCGAGATTCTACCTCACCACATGAGTTGACAATTCAGATGTAATACAATTCCCTTGTTAAGTACCTTGGTGCACAGCCGTATCACTCGAGATTCCACCTCACCACATGAGTTGACAGGTGGCGTCTGTTCTGTGGTTTTCAGCAAAATTTATGTGGCAAGAATGTGAACTCATACATGCGTGCCCCCCGAGACACACTCAATGGTGTACGGGAAGGTCGACATCACCAGCGACCATCGCTGCAGCTTCTCGGCCTGGTACTTGGCCATGTTGGCGTTCGAGCCACTTGGGTTGAAAATGTACACCTGGTTGCGGTGATCCGTGAACAGACGGAAACCACCCGGGTGTACGACCAGGTAGGTCGAGTCTCTTGCACGACTCGACAACGGCATAGACCTCCTTCTCCACGATGGACCAGCGCGCACTCGCGCCAGAAAACGACCCACTGATGAACGCAAGCGGCTGGTGCACTGGTCTTCGAGAGGCAAATCCAGGTCCGCTGGCGGTACTTGTGTGGCGACCGCACCCCAAAACAGGTCACTGGCGTCCGTGAAGAGGCAGACCGTCATGTCTTCTCGCGGGTGCGACAGGGGCACCACATGCGCCAACGCATGTTTCACATCGTTGAAACACTTGAGATGGTCGGGCGACCATCCCACGGTAGACAGTGCGACACGCACCAACGCCGTTTACTTGCAGCTTCCGGCTGCCTTGGTGTCCACGTCGAGCAGACGTCGCAAAGGATCCACCAGCTGGTTGTAACCAGGGATGCTCGCACGCATCCAGTTGGTGGCACACACAAACTGTTGGAGGTCGGCCGCGGTCATCGGCGGCGACAATTCCACGAGTCCTTGAATTCGGCTTGGGGAATGGGTGATTCCATCGGCCGAAATCACCTTGCCACACCATTCTACCTCGCGCAGAAAGGAATGACACTTCTTCGGGCTCAGCTTGAGTCCGAATTGGGCACAGATGGACAGGACTTGGTCCAACAAGTCGAGCAGCTCGTCCGTCGTCTAGGTGGACCCCAGCAAGTCATCGAGCCAGGCCAACAGGCCTCGAAACAGCAGCTCACCAAACATTTGGTGGACAACCGACTGGCAGTACGCAACAGCGTCCATCTTTCCCATGAGCACACAGGTCCGGGTGTACACGCAGAAGGGCGTCATGAACGAGAAGACTGTCCGCATGTAGCAGCAACTGCCAGTACCCCTTGGTCCAGTCCAACGTGAAGTACACGTTTGTTCCGACCAGACAGACCATCGCGCTGTCCAGGTTGGGCGTCGGCCAAGGCATCGGCTCCGTGCAGGTGTTGATCGGCCTGCTGTCGATCGTCATGCGCAAGTCGCTGACTTCCTCCTTCGGCACGACCCTTGGGGCTGCGGCTCAAGTAGCCCGGTTGTCTTGGTATACCATACCATTCGCTTCCAGGGCAGCCACATGGCTGCGCATGTACTCCACATGCAGCGGCGGATACCGTCGCATCCCACACTTCACCGGCCTTGACAGGCGGATCATCGCCCAAATTTTCACGGAATACATCAATGTGTTTGGCTAGTAGGTTGTGCAGCCGTCAGAATGGCTTGAACGGCCCCCTGCTTCGTGCTGCGACGCTCCGCTTCGTCCTCGACGGAGGTTTTGGGATAAACCTCCGGAGTAGCACACTTCATCCCATCGTCGGGGTCCAACTTCTCAGCCATCAGGCGCTTGACATTCTCCATACCCGACAATTCATTCGTCGGCACGGACGAAACGTCCCATTCTTCCTACTTCTTCAATGCTCCAATAAGGAGGTCTTCAACGCTGAAGCCCAGTAACTCCATAACTGGGCGACTCATGGTGAGGTCAGTCGAGGACGATGCGTCGTCGACCCAAGCCTTCAGACCGCGCAATACCAGCGGTCCACACGTCGTGTCCAGCGTCACGCAGTTGAACTTGACGCTGCGCGTCATCACAACTGGCTTGACGTCACTGCCATACGGGTACACCAAATGCGGCACGCTATGGGAGACAATCCCGACTTCGACACCGACTGCGTCAAACGCATCCATGACGCCGCGCGTGACAACGGTCACGTCCGAGCCAGAGTCCAGGAGCACATCGTCCACGCGGACGATATTCTCCAACATCACGCCACGCTCTGTCTTTTGACGCTGTGGCTGGTTGACCAGCACCTTGATGCCGTCCTTCCAGCGTTTCACTTGCGCTGCCAACAACGTTTTAGCTTCGCCAAGCGCGGGCTTCGGGCACCGCGCCACACGGTGACGCATGTCACCGCACTTCAATCAGCCCTTCTTGGCAGAGGGCTCGGCATTCTTGGGTACGACTGTTTCGGACTTTCCGCCGACTCTGCCATTGTTCTTGGCGGCGTCTTCCCGGTCGCTGTCGCGTCTTGTCACATGAGGCTTTCTGCCTCGTGGAGCTTCTACCAGCTTCGCTGCCGGGGAAGGTTTGGATCGTCGTCGAGTCCCACTTACAGCTGGTGGCCAGCTGCAAATGTTCGCAGCCAGTTGACGTAACGAAATAGGGTGGTTCTTCAACGCCTTGTTTCAGTGCAACTGCAGCTGCTTTTGAACCGCTGTCCTCAGCGACTTTGGCTTGATCGATTTCGTCGTGACTTCGACGACCATCTTGCCTTCTTCATGGAGTACCCACATCCTGATGGTCTTGTTCCAATGAGGGCATCAGCTCGTTCAACATATGACCGACGCGGGACTCCGCATCCAAGATCTTCGTATCGAAGCAAATCGCTCGCTGCAGACGTTGCTTCAAAACGTCCAGGTCTCGAGGGTCTTCCTCAAACGCTGACTTAACCACGCGACCCATTCATCGTTCGTGATCGAATTGTGGTTGCGGTTGAAGTCGAACAGCGCGATGCGGCGCTGCAGAGCGTTGAGCTGCCCCAGATACTTCTAATACTCGCGCATAAAAGCGCGTCTTTCGGTCTTGGTCGAGCCCGAAAATGTCGGTGGCTGCGGGATCACCGGTGCGTTCCAAACTTGCGATGCCGTACGGCCGTAACCGCCATCGCTGCCCATATCCGTGTCGTTAAGGACAACCGACGGGTCGTTGTCGGCTGGCAACGGCACTGAAGTGCCATCTCCTTGGTGGGGCAGCAGCTGAGATAAACGATGCAACAGCTGGTGTTCCCCGGGTTGTAGCAATTGTCTAAAACCCACCACGTGGCGGTTGCCACTCGTCGACAGCAGGTGGTTGTCGTCGTCGGGAAGATCTGAACGGGTTCACAACGGTGCGCCGAGCGGCGCGTCCTCGCGGCTCCTCAATCCGGTCACGCGACCATTGACACGACACACACAATGGGTCAAACCCACGCGCGATCCAATTGCTTTGCACGCTGCAGAACACTACCCAAGTTCTGGCCCCGGCAATGCTTTGTCATGGATTGATGACAATGCCAAAAAAAATGGACCCATGACGGACCTTGGCAAGGTCGTTTCACGCGCTGGTATATAGTTGAAGTGGCGGCAGCCGACAACTACAACCCAATCAACCTTGTTTGACACCAGTGGTGTTGGGGTGGAACATCAGAACTTGTTTTACCTTCATATGGACATGGTTACCTGTGAGACAAGGTTCGTCGTGCAAGCGACCGTCATCTTTTATAATCGCTTTACACTTTGACTCTTACAGTTGACGTCCAATCCGGATACTGGACAAACAATGTGGTGATTTGGCAGTTACAAAATGGACCAATCAAATATGAGAATTACCTAGGTATAACTTGGGCTGAACTGGAGTGTGCATGAAGCGTTCCATGGAACTACAGTAATTGCGACAAGGGTACGCAAAGCTCATGGCTATATTTTCTATGGTAGTAAGCCAGAGGATTTAGATTGATACAGTAATCGTGAAAGTTGAAACTGTGGTGCCAACAAATCGACCAAACAATTGTGTGATTCCATTGGCTACCAATTGGCCAGTCAACATACCTGAATCACTTTACAGTTAATGACCAATTCGTCCAAATGTCCTTGGTGTTTGTATCCTGTCACGCATTATACAGTAACGTTATCTAACAATGGTTCTCATCCCTTCATGGCATCCAGAGGTCACCCATTTGAAAAGGGAATGCTCTTTCAAAATATTATTTGACATCAAATTTTCTGTGGCATCCAAACTCGGCCTAAAATACACTTATGTTAATTGTTGACAAAACCAGTTTTGCCGCCCCAAATCCTACTCGGAACGTCCGGGGGGCGTCAATAATTGCGTCCTTGCCTCGTTCAACATATCTAGGACCTTGGCGCTCGTGGGGCGGAGGTGCGGGTCGTGCTGTAGACAATGCTTGATGACTCGGACGATCACGGCGGGACAGTCCGCGGAGAGCTTGGGTCGGATGGCGCCGGTGGCCAGAGCGTTGGTGAAGTCCGTCCCGTGCATGTTCGACTTGGCCTCGGCAAACGGCAGCGCACACGTGTCCAGCTCTGTGAGGACAATCCCAAACGAGTACACGTCCACCTTCTCTGTGTAGTCTTCGCCATCCACGAGCAGCTCTGGAGCGCTCCACTCGATGTCGCCAATCTTGGCAGTCATTTCGTCTTCAAAAATTCGCGCGCGAGACACGCCAAACCCGCTCAATTTTGCCCGAAGGGATGGGTTGAGCAGCACTTTGTCTGCCTTGATGTTTCGATGGATCAACGGCGGCTTGAGCCCGTGCATGTATGCCAGCGCTTGGCAGATGTCGACGGCAAACGTGATCTTGTCCGTAGCCCACGACATCGAAGCCGCCGCTTTGGGTGTGTCCAGATGTACACGAAGGGTCTTCTGCTCCATAAACTCCGACACACACACGATGCCGCGTTGTGGGGACAAGTTGAACCCGAGAAAGGACACGATATTGGGGTGTTGTATTCGCACCATGGACGTGACTTCCGAGATCAGCGCCTTTCGGGACTTGGCGATCTCGGCGGGCGACTTGGACAAGTCCACCGACTTGATTAGGACAGAACGGCCATTCCACGTGGCCATTTCAGTCTTCATGTACGTACTTGGAAGCGTCCGGACGATCGTAATGTCGTCGTGATCGATCCAGTAAATGTCCTTGTACGGTTCCAGCAAGCGGAACTCGGACCAGTCCACGCCGTCGTCGTCGTCGTCGTTCGGAAGAGGACCGAGAGATTGGGGGAGGAAGCTGTGGTTGGAGCGCTCTTTGGTGAGGGTCATGGACGAACTGAACGAGTTGACCTGTCGAAACGGCCCCAACGTCTCGTTCAAACGTCGCGGCGGGGAGAAGAACCCATGTGAGCGTGACAGGTACGACCTCGTCGTTGCGGATTGAGTGTGCGCGGCGGCGGTGGAACTGGCGCAGCCCATGGATTCACCTGCAAGTCAAATGGAAAATGAGGATACGCCAGAGGTTTGCTACTACTTTTTTCCCGCGAAAGCGGGGTTCAAGTACGTTTTATATCTCGCCTCGCAAGGTTTTTGTGTTTACCCTCAAACCGTCACACAGACATACTACGTAGTACATCGGAGTACGCATTAAAGCGAGAATAACGCCATGACGTTAAACATCGCGTTAAACCTATACCTCTATACTTGAGTATACCTTGATACTAAACCTCCAGCATATTATATGTGCAGGTTCACTGCCCTCAACAAGCATGTCACACACAAGTACGGTAGTCTGAAGAGTGAGATGGGGAATCCGAACACGAGAATCTCCGAGCATTGGCTGATCGCACACTTGACCGATTGCCCACATCGTTTGGATATGAATAATTTACTTGCAACTACCGGTAGGTACTAGTATTACTAACCTGTTCAATTGCTTCAAAACTCAAATGATGCATCAGACAGGTAGGAATTGTGACTTCATATAGTATTATGGGGCTTTTAGAGGCATCTCGTCAATGCAACCCATTTCAAGTGTACTCGGAAGGTCGATAGAGTCGTTGAAATTGCTTCAGTAATAAAGAAGTTACAATAATGTCCTAACTGTAAGATAACTTGGGCCCGTCTGGCGACCTGAAATATTACAATATTCAGGCCCAAAACGCCATTTTGGGGCCGACTTCAACAAATCTGATCAAAATTGAATCCTGTCTTGCTTGCAGAGTTTTAACCCATACTAGTCATGTAATTCCGAGTGGGATTTACTGCTTGAGGAGGTCCAAAACGCCATACTACTCCGGAGTAGTATTACAAAATTTTGAAAATGACATTTTGCGATAAAATGGAATACTCCTATTTTTGAAAGGTTACAGTACCAGACGCACCCTTAACCAATTTACAGTTAGGATAACTTTGTCCCCAATCACACCGCGCTATTTGTTGGAGTCTAAACCTATTTCATATAATGCCAATCCTTCTGTCACGTTGACGAAACGCCAATTCAGCGTGCAGCCGTCGATAATAATAGTCAATCATGATTGGGTTTGAAGGACCCTTGTCGATACCGGCCACATTGGGTTGGACCTGAGGATGTGTCGAGTGATAAACTCGGTCATGTGAAGTAGGAACTGTACAAACCCATGACCTTGTGTAAATTATATTGGACCTACACCGAATTTTCCATGCGTTTACACATACATACTTCAATATATAAAATTATCCTAAATTGGTTATCAAAATGTGAGTACAATTCGGTGAAGCTAATCGTGTAAACGAATAATTCAATTACATGTGTATGTAGAGAAAACGGTGCGTCTTGTCTATTCTCAGAACTCAAACATAGTACATGTAACGTAAACGGCCAATTGTTGCCCTCCTTTCGACCCCTTAGCTTTTTGGCCTTATCTCATAGGCTAAGCAAAATTACAAAAATCTGAAGTTATCCAGTTGTAGAGGAAAGAACACTCTATGTCAGTCGTTCAAATTGCTCGTAATTTGGTGTATTTTTAACGTAGTTATGCCGAAGCAAACACAAAAGTTGTGAAATATGCCGGACCAGTTGTTTGCCCTCTTTAAACTTGACTTCAGTATGGGTTTGAAGGGTGACGAGAGGGTTGGACAATATTTTTAATATGAGCTCAAAACAATTGCCAAAGCTAATCTTCACCTAACCGCACTTACTTTGATAATATCTTACAGGTAATTATATTAAGGAGAAACCATTGACCAATACCAGTAGCAAAAAAGTTCGCTGAGCCTATGGCCCCAAGCTAATCCTTCACCCCTAACACATATAATCCCCTAGCTTTTCGCCAGCTTCAAACTATGACCACCTTGCGCCGGAGGTACCATCGGGCTAAACATTGTCAACTTTCATCGTAACGTTACCGGCCATTGCAATTAACGATGCTGCCGGTGTCTCTCATCTTGATGTAGAGCTTGAGCGTACGGTATGGCATATTGTAGATGCGACCGAGATCTGTTTGTCGCTCTCCTTGCAACGCGCGCTCGGTTGCTTCGACGAGCTGCTCATGTGTGTAGCCCGTCATGAGTGAAATTGCAGATGTGTTTGAATTCCACTCGATAATTTGTGCGAGTTTCGCGCCGAATAGTACTTTAGCCAATCACGGCTGATTCAGTGCCGCGTAGGTATTTGATTGGGTATAATTAAAATACTTGACATTGAAAACTGAAAGAGGGCAAGAATTGGTCCGAGGGCAAGAATTGGCCGTTTACGTTAGCGGATTCCAAAGTTACCGGTATGGCCATTCTACTCCAAAAACGTTATCTGTAAACTGGTTTTTTACGTTATCCGATTTGCATTAGCAGTAAATTTAAGCGAAAAATGTGTCTATGAAAATCAAACCCCCAAAATGTGTTAGACTTTACTAAAATGAGATTTGACTTCACTGATTAACTATAATTACCCTCAACACATTGTTTTATTGGATGATGAAGGACGGTATGGTGCAAGACGACGAACAGGCCAAATCTTTTGCCCTACGTTTTTCTATTTAACCTATACTTGTTCTCCGGATACTCTCGACCGGATGTTATCCGGTTATTCTCGACGATCCTACGACTATGACGTGGCATCCTGTGGTGCCACCACCACCGTGCAGTAAAGTACGGCGTACTTACTACTAGTATCCAATAACGTTAGTATTACTAATCTATCATACGACAGTCGGCGGCGGGGTGGCGACCAACTCGGCTTTGGCCGCGAGAAGCATCTGCAGGACGCGGTCGCTGCTCGGACGAATGTGCGGATCTTGCTGGAGGCAGTGCTTGACAACATTGGCAATCTCCGCGGGACAGTCGGGACTGAGCTGCGGTCGCAGCGCGCCGGACACGATCTTGTTGGTGAACGCCGTGGTGGGCATGGAGTCCTTGACGTCGGCGAACGGGATGAGTCCCGTGTCCAGTTCCGTGAGCAGCATCCCGAACGAGTACACGTCGACCTTCTCCGTGTAGTCCTCGTCCTCCATGATGAGCTCCGGAGCGCTCCACTGGATGTCGCCGATGTTGTTGGTCATATCCTGGTCGAACGCGCGATTCCTGGACCCGCCAAACCCGCTCAGCTTGGCCACGGAGCGGTTCTTGTTGAGAAGGACCTTGCTCGCCTTGACATTGCGGTGGATGAGGCGCGGCTTCAAGCTGTGCATGTACACGAGCGCGGAACAAATGTCGAGCGCGATGTTGATCTTGTCGGCAGGCCATGTGAGTCGACCAAACTGCCGCGGGTTATCGAGTAGCGTGCGCAGTGTGCCGCCTTCCATAAACTCGGAAACGCACACGAGTCCCTTGGAGGTCGTATTGATGGAGAAGCCCACAAACCCGACAATGTTGGGATGCGCGATGCGCGCGAGCGACGAGATCTCCGACACCAGCGCCTTGTGGGACTTGGTCTTGTCCGCCGCGGACGCACTCGCGTCCATGGACTTGACCAGCACGGACGCGCCGTTCAAGTTGCCCATCTCGGTCCGCATGTACGACGCAGGAATCTGCCGCACCATGCGCAAATCGTCGCCGTCGATGAAGTACTCGCCAAAGTAAGGTGCCAGGTCGGGGTACATGGACGCGTGCAACATGACGCCGGACGTGGCGGACTCGTCTTGGCGGACGGATTTCGCGCGTTCCGGCGTCTGCTTGAGGGTATGTGTGGGTGGGGTGTACGCTTGATGCTGTGTAGATGACGACGCGCAGCCCATGATGATGATGATGTGGAACGAGGTCGTGCAAATGTAGAATGGTCGGGTTGTACATGTACCCTGGCATTGCGAGGAATCGTCCAACACTTGGGTACTAAGTTGGGTGTAATGGGTATAAAATGCCATTTTCGTTGATTGTGATTGGTCGACCAAATCAACCAAGCGGTTTGATTGGCTGGATCCAAGCACTACGACCCAGCAACATCACATTGTAAAGTGATATGACATTAACTTGATGACATAAACTACACTGTACTGTACTTCGAAATACACTACACGCGAGGAGGTTCCATATACACTTAACACGTCAAGATCTGTAGCGGCCATAGTGCCAGAGTTACTGTGCATTGCAGTCTTACATACCACAGCCAGCGTACCATTTTGATGTATCCCCTCGGCACACTTGCGCTAACTGTACAGTCAGACAAGGATCGAGTTGAGGCCACACCCAAGCCAAGTTTAGGTAGTGTTCATTTCTTGTGGCCAATCAGAATCCGTTTTTACAAATCAGTTGGTTTACACATCGAATTTCGGCCAATCACAGTTGAGAATTTAGATTTTACTTCGTGTCGTCTGTACGTAATGTGGGTTGATTCGCCAAATCCGTCGAGTCGACGGATTGTAACTTACTGAATTTTATAACGCTGCGTAGAAAGTTCACACTTTAAGATGTTTCTGGACAAAGTGATGTGAATTACAACAGGAATCATATCGCATTCATAACTCCCGAGTAGGCCTGGATTTTGGCTTCATGTAACATATTCTAGAATTATAATCCGATACCTACGAGTCGAGTTACATTACATGCCTTATTTGTTCTTAAATTGAAATTGGAATTTTATGTTAGTATTAATAGTACTACTAGTAGTAGTAGTAATATATTAATAGTGTAATATAGTAGACGGCAGCGTTGAACTGGATTATTTTATGGCTGTGTTTCGAGTGCGATCTTGGCGGCGTTGAGCATCTCAAGCACCTTGGCGCTAGACGGACGAATATGCGGGTCCTGCTGGAGGCAGTACTTGACAACCTTGGCGATCTCGGCCGGACACTCGGGACTCAACTTGGGTCGCAATGCGCCAGATACGAGCTTATTGGTGAACGTTGTTGCATGCATCGTGTCCTTGACGTCTGAAAACGGCAGCAGGCCCGTGTCCAGCTCGGTGAGTAGCACACCGAACGAGTACACGTCGATCTTTTCTGTGTAGTCTTCGTCGTCCATGATGAGCTCCGGCGCGCTCCACTCCATTTGGCCTATTTTGTTGGTCATTTCCTGCTCGAACGAGCGGTCTCTGCTCGCGCCAAACCCGCTGAGCTTGGCCTTGCTGCGCGACCGGTCCAGGAGTACCTTGGACGCCTTCACGTTTCGATGGATCAGCGTCGGCTTGAGTGTGTGCATGTACACTAGCGCCGAGCAGATGTCGATGGCGTAGTTGATCTTGTCGTTTCCCCACGTGAGCTTGGCAAACTGCTTAGGGTTGTCCAGTAGTCCGCGCAGCGTCTTGCTTTCCATGTACTCGGAGATGCACACCAGGCCCATGTCAGGACTAATGGAGAAGCCCTTGAACCCGACGATGTTGGGGTGCTGCGTGCGCGCCATGGACGAGATCTCGGCCACCAAAGCCTTGCGGGACTTGGCGATTTCGTCCGTCGATGCCGCCGTATCGATTGACTTGACCAGTACCGACTCGCCATGAAGGTTGCCCATCTCGGTCTTCATGTAGGTCGACTTGATGGGACGCACGATCGTGAGATCTTCGATGTCGATCCAGTATTTCGCCTTGAACGGCTCCAGCTCGGTATACTGCGACCAGTCGACGTCGGCTGTCGACTGCACTGGGGGCATCGGCGTCGCGAAGATCGGCTTGGACGGGTTCCGCATCAGCGGGCCACTTGTTGGTGCAATGTTCGTCTGCCCTTGCCCTGTACTAGGTTGCGTCGATGGCAGTTGGACGTGCTTCGATTCGTTGCACCCCATGATGCACGAAGGATTCACTCGTTAAATGACGATTGTCGAAAGGGCGAGTGCCGCCGACTGGCTTTCATGTCGTGTGAGCAACATACGCGACATATCATTGGCTGAAATGGTTGACATTATAGCCAATCCATGAGTTGAACGACTTGAAAATTACCTAGTATTTTTGTATTTTAGAGTTTGATGCAATTATTAACGTTAATAGTACGTATTAGTATAATTTACTTGGATATTGACTTGGTCCCATCGTCGTTCGGCGTGGAATTGTGAGGGATATCTACTTGACAGTCATCGTCGTACACTGCATTCGTAGCACCTACTGTACTGTACTACTACTACTTAATAGTAGTACAGTACATTAATACTAGTTACAGCAGAAGTACATACTACGAGTATTGATTCGCAAATACTCAGCATTTTTTTTAGTATATGTATTGCGACAGGTGATATTTCACAACCGGCCGACACTCGTTCTCAAAATTTTGTTAATCCATTGCGTCATACAAATTTGAAGTATTCACAAGTAAATATCAGTTATTACAGGAAACGTATCAGGTATTACAGGAGTCGCAATAGATTAATCTGTCGCAATGCATATACGCTATACGGTAAAACCTACACAACGTGATAATGTGCGGAATTTCTCATCTGTGACATGTTTCGTTTAATAATACCCCGTCGCAAGATGTCGAGACCAAAACCCAGCCTCAACAAATCGGTGGTTAAGCACAAACGCAATTCATAACTCTACAATTCAATATTTTTTTGTACAGAGTTGTACGATTAACGTTAGAGCACTTGTGGTAGATTTCACAAGTATTTGGCAAGTCAGGTTTTGATGTCCAAGAGATCAAAAGGGTTTGGTGTCATGCCACCCACTCGGCCATCACAGACATGAAAAATGCACCTCTTATCCGGACAAAATATGGCTTTTGTGCTCGTTCTAGATAACTCATCTAGTCCTTATGTTGGATTCATAACGTTAACAAAATTTGTCGTTACTACATTAATAAACCATCGGGACCTCGACTTTCCTCGAGGCTTACTACGTACTACTACTAGTACAGTACTACCGGTAGTACTAACTTCTTTCGTACTACTAGTACCAGTGCAGTAAGTACCGGGTAGTACACTGTATTCATATTGTGCTATACAGCTACAGTATACCAACTGTAATCCAGATTGACTGTGAATCTCGCCCGAATCGAATAACGAATCGATGCTATTGGCTAATCCAACAAAGAGAGGATTTCATTGGCTCTACCAGAAAACCAACAATATTCAGCCAATCAGAACTTCCAGCGTAATTTCTTCTGGATTCGCAAAACCACGCGAATTTCAGGAGTTTATATATCGTTATGTACTCTGAGAGCTAAAACATTTGAATCCGGATAAGACTCATCCGGATAACGACCCGCGGTGGCGGTTACAAAACGTTGCCCAATCAAATCCCATCTACTGCGGAAATGCGTCGATCGCTTTTTGGAGGCGGAGCTTGGCGTCGCGAAGGCGGGGTTCGTTGGGTTCATGCAGGACAAAGAGGTCTCCGTCTAGGTCCTTCTCAAACCCGATGGCGCGGAGGAACGAGAGGCCGCCGATGAACGACCCCACTCGCTTCTTGAACGCAGGATTGGCCGAGTTAATCTTGCCGTACTTGTCGAGCTCGGTGGGTTTGTCCAACACGTTGGTCACGTACACCAGCAGGGTCTTGAGCGCCGTGAGCCCGTCGTTGCCGACGCGGTACTGGGACAGCCGGTCGATGCTCGTTTGCATTTGCATCTCGGGGGTGGCCGCCGGTTTCCCGGGCGACGGCGCAGCGACATCTGTTGTCGATACGCGCTCGGGGGCATCCAACGACGTTGCGGCCGCCAATTTGCCTAGAATATGTGTAGTGAGTTTATGCTACCCATGGACGCGAAAATGAATCAACTAGCAATCGTATTATAGAATGTCATAGCCAATTTCCAAGTACATACACGAAGTAGAATCGGACAAAATGTATTGAGATTGTCCTAGCCAATCAAAAGTGCACTAACGAGACATTTCAACCAATCATCGTTTACAACGAGTGTGCGTAGTGGAATATTATTGTCATTTATTCGCTAGAAACGTTCAAAATTATTCGCCTGGCTTGTCTACTCAATATCCGCAGTTCTGATTGGTTGAATATACTTGTCCTCCTTTCTGCAAGAGCCAATCAAATCATCCACTCAAAACTTGGATGCGCCAATCATAGCATCGATTCGGCGATCTCGAATCATCCACAATATTGTTGGGTTTGTTCCAAACTATTTCGGCAAATGTATGTGCACAACAATATATTTCGGCAATCACGATACACGACTATTGTCGATTCAAAATTCGAGTGATGACCAGACTGACCAATCAAAACCCTCATATCACGAATCAAGTAGCCAATCAAATTATCGACATTCAACATCGAATATTAATTAGTATGCAACTGAAATTCGTGTGACACGGGACGATCTGTACAAAAGTCCATACAAACAATCGATCGATACATATTTGGCGAATCAGCACAACAGTCTACCCATTTTTTTGGGGAAAAGAAAGGCAATATAACACAAACGTCCACATGTACATAGGTCATACCCCCACGCGCCCGCCGCTCCGCCTTGTCGAGCTCAATCTGCTTGAGCAGCCGCTCGCGCTCGCGCTTGGCCTCGGCCTTCTCTCGCGCCTGCTTCTCCCGCACTAGCCGTGTCTGGATCGCATCGTACTCTTCCCGCGCACTCGCCATGTCCTTGCCCATGTTGCGCCGCGCAATTTCCCGCGCCACGTCGTCCTTCTTGGCCTGTGCGGCGCGCTGCGCCTTTTTCTCGTCGATTCGGCGCTTGAGCTCTGCGACTTTGGCTTGCTTTTCTTCTGTCGTGAGCTCCTTACGTTGTTTCTACATGTGATGGCGTGTGTATTGTATATCATGATTGTCAAACAACATCGATTCAATCTGGAGCCACCCGCATAAAACAATATGGACGAAACAAAACCAACCGCCCAAGCCAATCCATTCAATCACGTTGTGCTATCGACTAGGTTGTGCCAACCCACACTTTAATTGAGCCCCACCGCATCGGGCAAATCAGGTAGATCATAATTCCTTCCTCTGTTCCAGATTACTGCCGACAATTCAAAATTACTGGCGACATTTGCATTTCATTGGCTGTAATTCTTCAATTTCTATCAATATCGAACATTTATGACATTTCATTGGCTTACAATTGCTTTAAGCGCTGATTATAAACCAATCTTTTTGGAATATTCATGCAATTCCCTTTCAAAGTATCATTCGCCCAAATTGAGTGAGGGCTCGAGTGCACATACTTTGTACAAGCTTAAATTTGATCCCATGGATTGGCAATATGATCAAAGTGGGGTCGTCGTCCAAATTCGTAAGAATAGATAGACCAATCAAAACCCACAACACTCATCAAGTGGCCAATCATGGACGGTTGTTCAACATTGAATTAGTGTGTCACTAAAATTCGTGTGATACTGGACGATCTTTACAAAAGTCAAACAATCGATCGATAGATTTGGCAAAGAATATGCACAAAAGTCCACCAAAATTGGAATAAAAGACAGATATTACTACTATGGCAGAGAATTTAACGACTACTTGGTCGAAATGACATTTGGACACATTTAAAACAATCCACAGTCCAACAACCATGAAACCAAGAATCGAAAAAAAAAAAACGAAAAAAACTTATTCGCGTATTATGCTTTCGAGTGAAATGTCGTGGTTTCTCGTTGGAATTTAAATCGATTTGATAGGCTACTTCAGATGAGCTCAAAAGTATTAGCCAATCAAAACAATGAAATTCAACAACCAATCAGATCTCGCTTGTGGATCGGTTCCGTCGGTGCGATTATTCGATCCCCAAATTTGTATCAAATCGACAATAAATAAAAATACTTTTGACGTACGGCCAAGTCGATAAACTGGATAGGGGCGTCGATGTCGGCATCTTCTTGATGCTCTGCGATCCACGAGATGGCCGCTTCCAGGGACATTTGTTCGGTAGTTGCCAGCAGAGACTTTCGGGCATGCAGTTCCGCGAACCCCATTTCGGTCAACTACAAGCCATCGTTGCTCGTCATGTGTCATTTCAAGCCTACCTGCTCCAAGAACGCGGCATTCACTGGGGGAATCTCGAGATGGGACGTCTCCGACGACGTCGCGGCTTGATCGGCTTGCGCGTCTTTGAGCTCCTGCTGGGACAACAACAGCGCCTTGACCAGTTCGTCGTCCTCCTTTTGCTCGTCTTCGTCGGTCAACGTGGGCGGCGCGGCCACTGGAGCGGCAACGTTCCGAAGGGCGGCGGACGCATCTTGGTTGAATTTGCGCAACCGCGCGTCCCGAGGGTCTTCCCAGGTCGCTCCTACCATCACACCAGTGGTTGGTTGTTTGGACAAACACAACGATCGATACCTCCACTTCCGAGGGCGACCCCTTCCGACGCAAACGGATTGTACCCTGCAGATGCACGCCACGTGTCGATCTTGCGTCGGAGCGAGTTGACGTCGGCTCCGACTAGTTCGTCGACCTTTTGCGCGTTGATGTACAGGTGAAAGGTGGGAAACCCACGGATCCCAATCGAGTGGATCACGTCGTCGTTGTTGGCTTCGTTCACTTCCAGGAACACCACATCTTGCAATTCATTTGCCCATTGATGGAACGTGGGTTTGATCATTTGGCACGGCCCACACCTACGACATCGTATCCTCGTCGGTACCTTCGACGCATGGACACATGTAGGGAATTCAAGTCAACTATGCATACCATGTAGCTGTAAAGTCCACGACGACCAGCTTGCCGCCGGCGCCGCGAAGCTTGGCATTGAAATCGCTCTGTCCGTGCACTTCCACAACCCCCATGAAGATGATTTTTGCGGCGGAGGGAACAGTAAGAAATCGGCGGAATTCCCGTTCAAGTCCGGCTCGTACTTTATTTAGTATCTACTAGCGTTCATAGTAGTACTATTGTAGGTTTGTTAATACTACCTCCAGACGGAAATAGAAGTACCCTAAGGGGAAAATTTGCATATCTTGACTATTTTTATAAATATAAAAAATCTGAAGACATGCTCATAAAATACAGAAGACAACGTGTTTTCTGGACTAGAAGGTGTAAAAAAAAACAGCACATCGAAATCAACAGGACGATTTAGAATTCAGATACTAAAAGCAAGATAAATTCATACGGATACAAAGATTTTTTATCCGAAAATCAGAATGTCGATCAAGTTTGAGCGGCAAATTGAGTTGCAAAACCCCGCGTTTTCATGAAGGAGCTGACCGCTGGCCAGCGACGTGCTGTCATAGATCACCTTCTCGTACGCGTTGTTCAGCACCCGTGCAAGCTGCAACGTGGGGCCATACTTGAAGTGGCTCGCATCTTTGGGCGCAACCCACGAACTATTGGCAAGATATGGCAACGTGCCAACGTGTCGCTTGGTGGCGACAACTTGCCCAGCCGCGAAATGATATGTGAGCACACCGCCAGCATGAAGAAAGGCCGCGTTGGGCGCAAACATAAGTACACCGACCTCCCCGAACGTATACGTGCCGTGCCAGCATCCCAGCGCACGACAATAACGTACGTCGCCCATGCCATCGGAATACCACCAAGCACGCTCAAGGACTACTACAAACGTGGTCTTATGGTAAAGTCAACTCTAACGTCAAGCCCAAGTTGACCGACGTCAACAAGACTGCCCGCGTCAAATGGGCCGTCGACTTCGTCGAGCCCACCGACACGTACGCGTTCCACGACAT